ACTCATGTCTACTATTTCAAGGTGAAATTCATTCTGCTAAATGGGAAAAGACAATTCAGCAGGAAAAAGGGGAAGACAAATGTTGCTATTCATGCTAAACTTCTCTTTTCTGTTTCTTCAAACACATTTTCATTTTGAATCTGCAATTTTAGAGGGGGCTTGAATACTTTATAGGCTACTATTTATCAGAAATTAAATGTTGATTTGGTCCCCCGAATCGAAGTTTGATTGCATCGTAGCACCTCAAGAAGTGATTACACTTGATATCTCAGATTTAAAATATGATAATGTGCGTCTTTTATTATTATGCGACTGTTCCTGAAGTTATACTATGTTCTGGACTACAGATTCATCCGAATTTCTCCGTTTGCAAACCGACTCTCATTTGATGCCCCACCTGTTGTTCAACGGTTGAGATGCTTGGTGAATTTTGAAGCTTTAAAATTTTCAAACCCAATTGCTACTCTATCGGAGACTTTAATTTCTCGAATGAGAGAAAAAAGTGCTGAAAGCAATGGGAAATATATCGCAGTGCATCTTCGTTTTGAGGAGGTTTGATTTCCTTCGTGAAGATTATTTAATATTATTTGGAACTTGGGATTCACTATTTTCTGGTGTTAGGAAAATTTGAAGGCATCTATTAATTTGTTGTCTTCCAGGATATGGTTGCCTTCTCATGTTGTGTATATGATGGTGGTGACGGGGAGAAGAAGGAAATGGATGTGGCCAGAGAAATAGGTTGGCGAGGGAAGTTTACAAAGAGAGGGAAGGTAATAAGGCCAGGAGTTATAAGAATGAACGGGAAATGTCCACTTACACCTTTGGAGGTATGTCTGCATGTAATATGAAAACAGATGCTCACCACTGTTAGCATGTTAGTGAAACTCTTGACTTCTTTATTTCTTCAGCACATTTTGGTAGTAAGACTATTTTCCGTTTAGGGTCTTGATGATCTACATGTTTATGCTACATGACCTTTAGGTTGGATTAATGCTTCGTGGGATGGGTTTCAACAATAAGACTGCAATTTATTTGGCCTCTGGAAAGATTTACAGATCAGAGAAGACCATGGCTCCTCTTCTTGAAATGTTTCCTCTTCTACAGACAAAAGAAACACTAGCATCAGATGAGGAACTTGCTCCATTTAAGGTATTTGTCTTGTCAGATGTAAGCTTTGAAATTTCATCGTATGGGCATAGTTCTAAAACGACACATTGTTGCCAGAATTTCTCCTCAAGGATGGCTGCAATAGACTATAGTGTTTGCACCTATAGTGAAGTTTTCGTGACCACACAAGGCGGAAATTTCCCTCATTTTCTGATGGGACACAGAAGATACTTGTATGGTGGACATTCAAAGACAATTAAGCCAGACAAAAGAAGGCTGGCCATACTCTTTGATAATCCACGTATCGGGTAATATACTGGACCACCCTTAGTTTATTTTTGTTTCAGAGCCTAAGCATTTACGACTCATATGCTTCATCTCTGTGGCCTTTAGTCATGCCTTGTCATTTTTATGCAGATGGAAGTCATTGAAACGTCACTTACTCAACATGAGAGCACACAGTGATGCCAAAGGGGTCGAGATGAAAAGACCAAATGAATCGATATACACATTTCCATGTCCTGACTGCATGTGCCGCTTGAACAAAACAACGCATTCGAAACCCATACACACTAGATAGTATCAGCATCTCAGTGAACTAACATATTTCTCTGGCACGCGGTATGATTTGTTCATTCTCCGTGTACTGTGCGGTGGCGATTCAACTTCACTTGCAAGCATACCTGACAGACAGGGTGTTGTACATCGATTTATGTATAGCTTGTGCCAAACAGGGATGCCTCAGATTCCCTAGTCTTAGACTATCTTGCTGCTAACCATACAGTGATTAAATCTAACACATACCAGTAGATCCATCTGACACCTATAGAGCTCCTCCTATGAAGTTCCAGACAGATTAGTGCAGTAGTGCCCCCCTTGTACATGGCTCATTAGAATTTTGTTGTCGTACACAAATTTTGATGGAAGGCAAACATTGTAAATTTGTTATTCAACTCTTTCTCCTCTTGCTCTAGAAATGGGCATTGTTTCTGTCATGTTTACGGGGGTCTTATCCCCCTGTGTTGTAAGTTGTAACTTTGTCTGGCACTTAACCAGTATCTCTGTATGGAGCAAACGTTGGAAACTGCATGGTGCTATTACTTGATTCTTGCTTCGTCACCGTACAGCCAAAATATCTTCTTGCAGCATATAGTACTTGCCTGCCTGCTGCTTACTGCATCCACCCATCAACTTGGTGCATGATCAGTTGAGCAGGTAAACCCTTGTTTTCTGAAACAAATCTGTTTACAGCAACATATCTTGTTTGTCTATGCTGAGTAGGAGTACTCCATTGTGCTGTAGGACCGAGCATTCAAGTCTGGCAGCAGCAGTGTCAGCAGCAAAGCTTTGATCTCTGAATGTGCGAAACTGCTGTGTGGACGACAATAGCAGGACGAACTGCGCACGATGGAGTATTTAACGGTGTAGGTTCACTTTGAATCGACGCATGGACGGATTGATGTGCTTCATCGTGCGGAGATCGTCCACAACCGTCGTGTGTGTAGCAGCACTCATGAATGTGCCTCTCACATGCACAGGGAGGGCCGTTGATAGGGATTGGGAATCTGGGGAAGGAGTCCTGCCCGTTCCTGTCAAAACGACAAGGCCCTGGCGAAGGGAGAGCAGCTGAATAGCTTTCTCTTGAAATCGGGATGGTATAGTCATTCGGAGCAGCACCACTTTTCCTCCCGGTTCTTTTCTACTATTGGGAATAAGGCGCGTCGCTGATGGCGACGGGTACGCTCCAGCCTAGTAGTTCCGAAGAGGCAAGCAAGAGAACAGGGGGCGTCACAAATACTGCGGACTTTTGTGAATGGCGCAGGCGATTAGGCGCGGCTCATCATGGCGGAAAGGTATGGCAATGGCAACGGCAGTGGCTGGTCCACTCTTTCGTACTGACACTTCTCTCACATGCCCCGTTTCATCCCTCCCAAGATCTCTCCAGTCCATCTCGGCAGACAACTGTAGCTAGTCTTGAAAGAACAAAAGCCTTTAGCCAAAACAGTTTTCCAAAGGAATATGTAAGGGCCCGTTTCGTTGGAAGAAATTCCAAAGGGAAAACGTATGGTCACCGGAATTTGCATGCTCGGTGGAGTAGAAGCGTTGGCCAGGGCGTAGGAATTGAACCATCAGCGTTAACATTTTTTTTCCTCTCGTCCTTTCCGCAGGATTATCGTGGCAAGCCCATCAGATGATACAAATCATCATACAATACATTTTTGTTGTTTTCTTTTCTGAACACGCACTATCTGCCGTTCTTGTGTTTCCGCGTTGGTGCATTCCAAACACAAACAGCCCCCCTGGATGGCATAAGAGATATAGACACATAGTAATAGTAATTCAGTACTTACTACATACGTAGAGGATTTGAATGGCTGGTCTGGTCTGGTCCCCCGGGAGCATTGGAGACCCGATGAGAAACATTCTTTCCATCACGCTCGATCGGTTCCAATACAACTCTATACGAGATCTTATCAAGCTGATAGTAGTATATCACCGCTCGCTTGCGTGCTTTTGCGGCCACTTTGGAGCAAAATCAATTCGCGGTAAAGCTTAGCCTCCCTCAATCATTCTACGGTAAAGCTACTCCATCAAAATCATTTTACGGCAAAGCTACTCACTCCTTTCATAAACTGTTTTTATCCAAGCAGAGTACTCGCCTCGTCCCATGTTATCTCATCAGCACCCGGACCCGCAAAAGATTCTATCCATGCTACACTTGTCTTTATAAACTTACCATTACCGCACAGAGCCACAACAGTGGGCAATTAAACCCGGCCCGGGCCAGCATGACAGCGGGACCCACGCCACGCCCGGGCGGACTCGGCTCCCCTGACGTACTGCAGGGCGCAGTTGGGTCGCTGACAGGTGGGCCAACTTGCTTTCGGGCCCACCTGTCAATGGCCCAACTGCGCCCTGCAGTACGTCAGAGGAGCCTCGTCCCGCCCGGGGGCGCCATCATTACGGGCCTTTTCCCGAATAGTGCCGTGTGCATGGGAGCTTGGTCACTGGCTGGCAGTGTAGTCCAGTCCAGTTCTTCTCCCTCCTCGCTGGAGCCCCTGCTACACTCCACTCCAGACCCACCCACCCGCCATTAATTTCCACAAAACGCGAATCTCAACGCGCGGAACAAAGGCTTTGCACTTCCCTCGCACTGAACCCAACCAGACCCAACCCCCAGATGTTTAATCGGCCGCGATTTTTGTGCTGAGAAAAAAATAGCGCCGAGGAAATATTCATTCCACTCTGGGGCTCGGCTCGGCTCACCATCCCCCACCCCCACCGCATCTCAGGCTCACCTCACTCCTCGGGCCAGTGGTCAGTGGAGCTGCTGCTCTGCTCTGCTCCCGGCGGCGCGGCGAGATGCGGGGGCAGGGGCAGATCTCCCGCCGGCTGGTTGTTCTTATGGTGGTGGCCGGGCTGCTGCTGCTGGCGTGCGCGCCGCCGGCCGCTGCCGTGGACGTCCAGGCGGTGCTCGCGCCGTTCCCCGACCTCGCCGGCTTCGCGCGCCTGCTCGCGTCCAGCCCCGTGGCCCGGGAGCTGGCCGGGCGGTCCTCGCTGACGCTGCTCGCCGTGCCCAACGCCGACCTCCCGCAGTCGCCGTCGGCGTTCGCGGCCGCCGCGGGGGCCGACCTCGCCGACGTGCTCCGCTACCACGTCCTCCTCGAGTACCTCTCCCCCGCCGACCTCCGCCGCCTCCCGGCCGCCGGGAAGCTGGTCACCACGCTGTTCCAGACCACCGGCCGCGCCTCCGCCGACCTCGGCGCCGTCAACGTCACGGCCGCCGGGCCCAGCCTGGGCGTCGTCCGCTCGCCGGCGCCCTTCCCCGGGTCCAACGCCACCGTGCTCGGCTCCGTCACCTCCGTGCCGTACAACCTCAGCGTGCTCGCCGTGGACGGGCTCATCGTGCCGTCCGGCTTCGACCTGGCGGCGTCCGAGTCCCGGCCCCCCGCCGCCGTGAACATCACCCGCGTCCTGGCCGACGCGCGCGGGTTCAACGTGGCGGCGTCCATGCTGGAGGCGTCCGGCGTGGCGGAGGAGTTCGAGGGCGACGAGCGCGGCGCGGGCATCACGGTGTTCGTCCCCACCGACGACGCCTTCGCCAGCCTCCCCGCCGGCGACCGGCTCCAGTCCCTCCCCGCCGACCGCAAGGCCGTGGTGCTCCGCTTCCACGTCCTCCACTCCTACTACCCGCTGGGGTCGCTGGAGTCGATCGTGAACCCGCTGCAGCCGACCCTGGCCACCGAGTACGCCAGCCAGGCCGGCCGCTTCACCCTCAACATCACCCGCTCCAACGGCTCCGTGGCCATCGACACCGGCGTCGTCCAGGCCACCATCACGCGCACCGTGTTCGACCAGAACCCCGTGGCCGTCTTCGCCGTCTCCAAGGTGCTGCTCCCCAAGGAGATGTTCACCAGGGCCGACTCGGCCGCCGTCGTGGCCGCGGCCCTGGCGCCCCCGCCAGCCACCTCGAACTCGATGCCGCCGGAGCCGCCCGAGAGCGCGCGGACGCCGCCGACGAAGCTGTCCTCGCCGCCCGCGCTGCGCGGCGTGACCAGGAACGACACTGCGGTTTCGCCGCCGTCGTCGTCGTCGGCAAAGGCAGCAGCAATTGGGTGGTGGTGTATAGCATTGTTGTATCTACTGCTGCCTCTGGTATGAGATCCGGCGGTGAGCTAGTCGTCCATTGCCGTCTCCTTGCTGAGCTCAATTCTTTTTTGCCTTGCTTTTGTTACAATTGTTTCTTCTTTGTTACTCCTGCTAGTATATTACTAGGAGTTAACCTGTACACAATGGGGTTTGAAAAGTGGGGGAGAAGGTAGATGACTCGAGGTGGAGAAGATTGAGCTGCAAAGCAAAGCGGCATTCTTTTTACTGCCCGCGTCATGCTGAAAAAGGAGAAATGATCGCACCATCCTGTAAAGAATCACACGCGACCAGCCGACGACAATGTTAAATGTTGGTTCTACCAGGGCTGTTTCTCCGTGGACGCAGCGCAAGCTGCTTCCATTTTGCTGAATCGGGCGACGGAAGTGAGTGGGGAAGGGGGCTTGCGGCCGGGGTGCGCGCACCGGTGGCGGTGAGGGGAGAGGCGAGTGGGTGGTAGGTGGGGTGGCAGTGAGCTGGCGGGGCGTGGGGGTGGCTCGGCCGTCGTCACAGGCGTCAGCGCGCGCGCCCCCCGCTAGATTCGATCGCCTTTTCGGCTTGCGTCCGTCTCCCCGCCACCGCCACCGCCACCGCCACTTGCGTGTCCGCTTCTTGTCGCCTCCCGCCGCGTCACCCCGCGCTCTCGTCTCCACCCTCGCCGTGGCAGCGCGTGACACGACTTGCTTGTGGTCTCAGCCGTCGACTGCCCGGTAGCAGTTCAGAGCGGAAAGCGTGCCCTGCGCAACTTCTCACCCGGCCTTATCCTCATTTCGGGGACAAGCCGCGTCGCACATCCACATGCGCATCAGCGCGGCGGGGCCTCCTCGTGCCTGACACATGAATGAGCTCGAGCCCACCTCTAGTGAGCTCACTCGACCCGATCGATCTCCCTTGACATCGTCACCAGGCGAGGCATGCAGAGAAGACGACGACGATGCCCACGCCACGAGAGCGGCGATCACGCCCACGCCGGCAACGGGACTGGAAACCCTTCTTCAGGTCTGTCGACGCCGCTGGTACCACGGCTTCGAGTTATTGCCTTGTCTTGCGCATCCGATCCGTGAGGGGAGGGCGAGATGCTCATCCGCTGGCTCACGGTCACTCACTCACCGGCGAGGCCTGCTTGCGTGCCTAGCTAGTGGTCTTTGTTTGGGTCCATGCGTTCGTTTTGTTGTAGTACTAGTACTTATTTTCTTTTGGTTTGTAGTTTTGCTAGCTAGCGCACGTTACGCTGGGCCCGTGTCCCGCGGTGTGCCAGCGGGAATGTGCTTTGCTTCCTCCAAGTCCATCGGGTCATCACCAGCTAGCTGCGTCGTCCTTCCTCTGTGTGCTCCGTGCTATTGCATTATTTGGGTTACCACAAAAGGGACGAATTTCTTTTTTATGGTTTTTACATGATCTGTACAAATATATGTTTGCCACCATGTGAAGAAGACAGGAAGCGTATGGCGCAAATCCATCTGATCGGGCATCGCTGCACCGATCCTGAAATCTTTAGAGTTAGTAAGGGCAACTCCAATGGGGCGACACGGATTATGTCCGTTTTTGTCCGTTGTCGCCTGTCCGGCCTAGCGGATATGAGGCGGACACAGTGGCGGAGACAAGCCTAGGGCAACTAGGGCTATAGCCCTAGGCTTAGTACTAAGATCCCTTGTAATTTCTCTCTATAATGTACTCAAAATTTCAAGAATTTTTCTTTCAAGCTTGCTGATCCCTAGGCGTGACTGGCTGCTAGTTTCGCCACTGGGCGGACACGCTCAGCCCGTGGATGTAACCAACGCACGATGCCAAAAAAATCCATCCTGTCCGGCTCGCCCGCCCCGCTCTAGCAGCAACGCTCGCCGGCCCGCGCTCTGGCCGCGCCCGCCCGCAACCCGTGTTTTGTCCGTTGTCGCCTGTCCGCATATGAGTCGGACACACTCAGCCCGTGGATGTACCCAACGCACGATGCCAAAAAATCCATCCTATCCGGCTTGCCCGCCCCGCTCTAGCAGCAGCGCTAGCCGGCCCGCGCTCTGGCCGCGCCCGCCCACAGCCCGTGTTTTGTCCGTTGTCGCCTGCCCGCCTAGCGGATATGAGGCGGACACGCTCAGCCCGTGGATGTACCCAACGCACGATGCTAAAAAATCCATCATGCCCGGCTCGCCCGCTGACGTTGCCATGGACCTAGGGTAGGGTCATAGGCCTGACCTATAAGCCCTATCCAAGGTCACTATCCTAGAATCAAGAACATTCAAACTGTAACAAGAGACACCGACTGAAGCAACCTTAGAGTGCAATCCACTGACCAATTATCTCACTCAGATACCCCAATTCCATTCAAACAAGATGAAGTCACTCGACCATACAAGAAACCACTCGGAGTATAGAAGACCTAGAGTCACTCAGGATGACAACGGTCAGGCGTTCACCACGTAGTCTTAAAGATCATTAATAACTCTTTATAGCTAGCGTTATCAGTAACGCCCTATCTTAATGTATATTGAACCCTGTAATGGGGGACGGCTGGGGTCCTGGCGCACTCTATATAAGCCACCCCCTCCTCTGGCACAAGGGTTTGCACCCCTTATAACACACACACTCATATTCCAGTCGACCGCCTCAGGGCACCAAGACGTAGGGCTTTTACCTTCTCCGAGAGGGGCCTGAACTCGTAAACTCATGTGTACAACCTCGCCATAGCTAGGGCCTTGCCTCCTCATACGTACCCCCTACTCTTACTGTCAGACTTAGTATCACGACAGTTGGCGCCCACCATGGGGCCAAGCGTCTTGGCAACTTCCGGCGAGGTTGCATTTTTTCCGATCTCCATCAACATGGTTTTCGGTGGTGGTTTGGTTGTGGGCCGCGAGTTCCGACTCGGCGCCTTCACTTTCCTCGCCGACGACTCCGCCTGGCTTCAAGAAGCCCCCTTCGATGTCGAGGCTCTTCCGATCCACGGGGCATCGCACTTCCGCGCGAGTGCCTGCGGCGTCCTTCTGCGGCAGCCGTCGACCCCATATCGGTCGGCTCCCGCATCGTCCGCACACTCCGGTGGACGCCGTCGCAAGCGATCCGGTCGGTCACGGCTCCAGCGGTGGGTAAATCATGCGGTGGCCCACCAGTCGACCACCCCACAAGTCGCGGCGATCGAGTCCGACGAATTTCTCTACGGACCATTCGATCCGTCGACTGGCTCCGTGGATACTTTTTTCGATCGCGGGAGCAGTGACCCCGCGGCAGAAGTTCTCATGGTCGACTCTCGTCGCAGCCCACCCAGGTTTCGCCGCAACGGCGACGACGGCGATAGTGGTGACCCATCCTATGATCATGATGAGCACGAGCCCCAACCTCTCAATTCGCAGCAGAGGGAAGAGTTGCACCACCGCAACGTGGAGGCGCTCCAGACCCCTATCGTGGGGGAGACTGTCGAGGCTCGGGCCTTGGAGGCTGCGCACCTGGCCATGTTGGCCGAGTGTGCACATCTAGAGAACTTCCAATATTCTCTCGACGAACGCGCCCGTCAACTGATCCCTGAATCCAGTCGACGACAACGACAATTTTTTCCGCCTGAACCCCAGGTATACCGCACTCTGATCCAGAATCTTACAACTACTGCATGTATAGCAGAATCTATTTAGCCGTCCTGTTTAGAGGCTGGAAGAGGCTTGGAGCAGGTCCGAGCGTTGCTCCGGGAGGCAGGAGATTAAAACTCAGCCGTTTCTCAGTCGCGCAACAGGATCCACAACAGGTCAGTGAGAGCAGACACAGTTCAGTCGGCACACAGTCCTGGGTCGCCTTTGCGACGTGAAGATCGTGATCACCGTCGAGATCGGCACCTGGGAAGAGTCCATAGAGAATTTGATCGTGAGTATGCCCGTGACAACCACCGTCGAGTTCCTTCGCCCCCTCCGAGGGGCGGGTCATATGCGCCCCGGCGGTATGACACAGGCGCCCGTATGGGAATGAGCACATAGTTCCATTCGACCCAAGAGAGTCTGGGTTCGATGCAAGATCAATCCTTGTGCAAGGTTTGATCGACAGGAATAGAGCATACAGAGAAGGGCTGGATAGAGATCGACCCAGTGGAAGCAGAGTGCACGTTTCCGGCCTCGAGTGCTTCGGAAGAGCCATCCGAGCCGCTGGGATCCCTCACAACTTCAGGTTGGCGACGGGCATAAGTAAGTTCACCAGAGAGTCAAAGCCCGACACTTGGTTGGAGGATTACCAAGTAGCAGTGCACATTGGTGGTGGCAATAATGAGGTGGCAATGAAACACCTCCCTTTGATGCTTGAGGGTTCTGTCAGAGCTTGGTTGAATTAGTTGGCCCCTGGGAGCATTTTCAATTGGGAAGAGTTAGCCCGAGTGTTTACCAAAACATTCGAGGGCACCTGCAAGCGACCCGCTGGTTTGGCAGAGTTGCAACATTGTGTCCAGAAGTAGAATGAGACTTTGAGAGATTATATCTAGAGATGGACTACCCTTCATCATACAGTAGAGAATGTATCATAGCACCAAGCAGTTTGCGCCTTTAAAGAAGGCGTCTGGTACAGAGAGCTCAACTTCAAGTTTGGTCGGATCGGGGACATGTCTCTGACTCAGATGATGGAGATAGCCACTCGGTATGCTAACGACGAAGAAGAATATCGACTTAGGAGCGGCAAAAACAAATCAGTCGCCCAGGACACCGAAGGAGGAAACTCCAGTCGGAAGCAGAAATGCAAAGCTGAGTCTGCAGGTCCTGCTGAGGCAGCAGTTTTGAATCAAGGGAAGTTCAAGGGGAAGCCTAAAGGGCCTTGGACCCCCCAAAAGTGAAAGATCAAGCGAGAAATGATGTGCTTGAATTACCATGTCATATACACACCAAAAAAGATGAAGAGGGAAACTTGATTCTTCCCAAGCATACCACTCGATAGTGTCGACTCCTGATTCAGAGTTTCCGAGAGGGCCAACCCAGTGAAAAGGAAAAAGAGTCTGATAAGGAGGAGGACAAAGAGGAAGATGGCGGTTACCCCAACATCAATGCCACTTTGGT